TGTGAGTTTTTTCCGGTTTCAGAAAAACGCTGAACTCGCAAAACAAGGCTGGAGTTTTGCGGACTACCGTTGGATTTTTCCCTAGTGGATTCTATGCGTTGTGCAGTGAATATTATTAATTATTATTAGTGATAATTATTTGATGGTATCTAGTTAAAATGTAATGCTTCTTCCAGGACCACACTCAATAATCAATAATCAACACGTTATAGTTACGTGAAAAATCACGTAGAGTATCTCTTTTTAGTTTGCCTTCAATTTCACATGACCCAAGTAAAATCTACATGACACCACTTATATATGAGGGAAAATTCCATTTGAAACCGTTACATTTTTTAATGAAGTTTACGTGATTTGCCCATACACAGATTCTATGTGCGTTTCACGTAAACGCTAAGTGATTTTCACGTCTGAAAAAATAAATGAGTGACACTCAATATGGCGCTAGTTCAGTGGGCATATTTTAGATGTTTCTTTTTTGTGGGTTAATTTTATGTGGTTAGTTGAATGAATTAAACATTTACATAGAGAATATTTAAGTCTGTTTCTCTTTTAGTGTGACAGAATCTTGCATGGTGTAAGATCAAGTGCAGGATAGGCATTTGTATTCATGTATGTTTTCCCGTTCCCGATCCTTGGCCCGATCGAATCTAATTTCAATACGTTTTTGTTGCCGATGTATATATTTTATGACAAAGTAAAGGCATATGCATAAATTAATACTAGATCTTTGCCTAATGCGAAATCAAGAATCCATTTTATTCAAATTGTAGCAGAATTAACATCATTAGAAACCACCATGAGCTGTACTGAAAGAATCACGTAACTTCTATGTGATAATCCAATGACGTTGAAGCTCACTGAAATGAGTGCTTCCATATGAGAATCACGTAAGGTCTACGTGAAAAGTGCTATGGAAAAAATCTATGTATGTTTTCACGTAGCATTAACGTGACGATTACTTTGAGTGCACTTCTTGCAAACGTAAGTCTAGATAGAGCTGGAATTAGGGCCTAACCGATTTTGTAAACAATGACTTCTCTTGATGATTTCTAGAAATTCAAGGCTCGCCCACGCAAACCAACATCCTCATCGGGTAAGGAAAGACTTCCCCTATCCGATGGTTAGGTTGGTCTGCGTGAACGTTCCTTAAATTCCTAGAAATCATCGATAGAAGTCATTGTTTACAAAAGTTGTTACGCCCTAATTCCAGCTCTATCTAGAAATGTATTTTGCTAAAGAAGGTGGGAAACAGAATTAAATATGCTCCAAAAACCGTAGACTATTCTCTTGATCCGACTTTTGTATATGATGACGAACATGGTAGGTAAAAACACATTTCCCTACCTATATTTCAGATCAGCAATCGATCTAATCATTTATGGGCACTCGCTGTGCGGTTCAAAACTCAAAGCATCGAATCAGGAACAGAATCACATTTGCATAAAAGCGGCAGGCTTCAACAATTTTGTTTATTTTTTATAATTTATAAACTTTTGCCTGTGGACTTGGAGACATACTTCAAGTCCCCGCGTACATCGTACGGGCTAGGCAAAAATGTGCGTCTATCTTGAAAAACTGTCGCTTTAATGGCCCTTCGCTCATTTTCAACTTCTATTCAATTTTCATACTGCCGTACTCTAACGGAACTATCCACCTACCCTCTTCTAAAGATCATTCTCTAGCTAATAAATCATCACACTAAAGCTTCATGTTAGCATTTCCAACCAACTCTGAAAATCGTTAACTTCGCGTATGAAGTAACATAAAAAACACTTTGAATGTAAACTTTTTGTTTTAATTTATTTCACCCGATTACAGTACTTCTCAACTGAAACATTCTGACAATCGATAAACATGCTCGTTTGACTCATATTTTGACAATTATCGCTGGTCGATTGGCTCAAGATGGCCGCTTCCGCGAATCTCTATATAGGATTACTGATAATTATTACACAAATAATGGTCAATCTCATAGTTTATCATACAAGTGTAACCACGGCAGTAGGATACCGTTTTTGCGTTATAACCTAAAAACTAACGGTCGTATCACGCGCCAGAAACTGGGAAATTTCTGAGAGTTGATCTTGGAAAACCGGCAAAAAAACGGGAAATTCAAAATGAAACATTCACTGGCCACTAGACTGATGCAAAATTTGAAATTTTCGCTCCACAGTGCTTGAACGGTTCCAAATTGGGTCCTGGTTAGCCTCCCAAAATTTGAACTCATTTAGTAAGAACCTGACTTGGCACAAATCATTTGAAGTTTATATGGAAATTACTGTGGGGTAACCATAATTTCGATTCATATCTATCTCAAAATTCACCAGTTCACTCAACTTGAGAAAATGATAACTCCACTTGCTACAGGTTTGTCGAAGACCACTTTTCGATCAAATGTAAGAAACAAAAATTATTAATGATTCAAGTCACTGATGTCTTATGATAATGCTCAATCAACTGTTCAGCAGGCAACATTGCTGTTTATGGCGCGTAGAATATAGGACAAAAATCAGGGGGAGAGGTAGCTCATCGATTTTTCCGGTTCACCTCCTAGCATCGTGCTATAAGGTACCAGGCGATAACCAGGGTAGTTGATCGATAGCTCGATGACGTCATTTCGTTGACGTCTGCAATGGGAAATTCTCATAGCAGGCGTTGACGATGGGACGCTGTCGTGTTGTTGAATAGCAACTATTGACGAGTGCACGGATGGATTTGAGTTCACTCACTCGACAAAAAGTGACACAACAGCGGGGCCCTGTTTACTAAAAATGAACATATGAATAATACTCACGTAACATTTGAAACGGGTCTATCAACTTATGTACACAAAACTTGTTAAGCCTTTTTCGCGCGAACCGAATACGCTCACGTAAACTAACAACACCATCGTGCAGAGGAAATGCTCCCCTTCCCGATAGTGCTCTTGGTTTGCGTGGGCGTACTTCGGTTCTCATGAAAAGGACCTAGCAAATTATTTACAAAAGTTGATAGGCCCTTTTCAAATGTTACGCGAGCATTATTCATGTGTTCATTTTTAGTAAACAGGGCCCCACTGTTGTGTCACTTTTTGTCGAGTGAGTGAACTCAAATCCATCCGTGCACTCGTCAATCGTGGTAACTCACCGATTACCTGTGGATCTGCCAAATTTGGAAAGACGTCTGCATTGAATTGTCTCATATAATAATATTCCGCCCAGTATATCACAAGAAATTGCGAGTAGCTGAGTGGAATGGAGATAAGTTAAGCATTGGGTACAGGACCAAGTCTCCCCTGGGTGGTGCCAAAAGATGAGCGCAATAGAATCATCAAGTTGCCATAAGGCACGGAATGAGACTATTGCATGGCTGGGTAGTCAAAGTCTTCCATTCGTTAGTCATTTCAGGTGGATTAGAACAGGTTTAGGTGGGCGTTGGCCAGATTTGGATTTTTTAGATGTAATTCTGGGTAGGACCCTGTCATTGAATGTCGCGTGAAAGTGGAACTTAATGAAGGCCTAAGTACTTTTTCGTAGTTTTTAGTTTTCGGATTTGAAAGATCGTCGGTTACAGTGGCCTGTTTACTGAGCAGAAAAACGCTGTCCCAGGTCCTTACATATCAAAGAGATTTATGGTAAAATCGCTTGTGTCTCGTGTATTTTGCGAAACTCGTTGTTGTCGTTGGCTCCGGGTTTGAATGGATACACAAATTTGAGCAACGGTATTATGTGATATGAGGAGCTCGGTGGCCTTAGAGCAACCGTTTTTGCTTACTGAGCAGAACATCATGAGTCTAATCTCAGGCCCATCCACATTCAAGATTCGTCAATCGTTTTATTTGTTAATATGACTACATGGTAATAACAGCAACTCGGTGATTAAAAAGGTGCTCGTCTGCCTAGTGGCAAACGTTTTTGCTTACTGAGCAGAAGACCGTGGGTTTAGTCCCAAGCTCCTTCGCGTTATATGATCGTTAGGACATTAATTCAGCTTATCGTTTACCAAAACGAACCCTGCTGCAAACCCAACCCTCTTATCCAACATCCCAGTGATTCCTCGTGGAAGTGCAGAGGTGTTCTCGGCTTCCATCAAAGCGAGTGTCATGTCAACACAATCCTTCCCATTCCTTTCTTGACCTGTGTTCGGGCGCGGCCGGCGCTGGTATTGTCTAATTTAAGATCACCAGTTTTTACACATTGAGGATGATTGCTAGTCCCAAGCATCGTCTATTGGTTCTCTGTGTAATTACAGCTGATCTGGCAGTAACATAGTAGCAACCGTGGGCGGTCAATCAAGCTCAAGCTCAAGCTCAAGCGTAGAATATAGGACAAAAATCATGGCTACTATGTCACACTGCAGAATACAGTGTTGCCCACAATACAGTTGCTTAATCTTGCCATAAGATAAACTTTTAAATAATTAATAACTATTCAATTTGACGTTTGGCTGAAAAACGATTTTCAGCAAAGTTGTAGCTGATGAAAATTCCCATAAGAATAGCAATAGAAATTGTTTACAGTACAATATGTAAAAAGGCTAGAAGACAATTAACAAAAAGTTTTGTTTTCCCATAGTAATTTCCATATAAACTTCAAATGGTTTGTGCCAAGTCAGTTTCTTATCAAATGAGTTTAAACTTTCGGAGGCTAATCAGGACCCGATTTGAAACCGTTTGAACACTGTGGAGCGAAAATTTCAAATTTTGCATCAGTCTGCTGGCCACCCTGTTAATTTCAATGGCATCATTTTTTCTCATCCTTAACGAGAAAAAAATTAAAACTTCATGCAATAAAATTAGCTCAAAAATCAAATTATATTACTAAATCACTATATTACATTGAAAATCGCACATCAATTATGTCAATATGGGGTTTGCACTGTCTGAGAGGGGGTTTCTATTCTCTTAAATATATAAACTACATTCAACCCCTCTGGCACCCTAACTACACCAGTGGTGAGCAGGACACATATGCAATCCGGTGATATTCATTCACAAAGCAAATGTCAAAGCCCTCGTGTCTGCCGCTTTCAAGGTCAAGTTGTTCCATATATTTCCACCGTAGCCCATAAATAATTCCGATTACGTCTATACAACATATCCGAACTCCTTATTAGCTGCCAAAACCATCGGGTAGGCTTCGTTGTAGCAATCTCCGTTGAAATCGTCCGTGTCGATGGTCCAGAACATGACACCTCCCAGTCCCTTCTCCTTCACATATTTGGACTTGATTGCGACCGTTTCTCCATCATCATAAGTAACCCATTGGTCGCCCTGGACGGCCACCTTCACGCCAACGTTCCTTAGGAAAGCCATCTTCCATTTTCCATCCATGATCATCTCGCACAGTTCGTTGTAACCCAAAACGCCGACATTCTTGGTAAACGGTCCTGCCTTTCCTGGTCCCTGAACGACAATTCCCGCGTTAACAGAAGCAGTCGCTCCTGGTTTTAGCGTGTACGTCTTTGCCATCGTTGAAATTCCCAAATTGATCTTACCCAAAGGGCAACCACTTTTACGAATATAACTAATAGCTCCGTCGATCGATTCGGATCGCATAGCCTGTTCCGAGTAGAGTGGCCCGTCAACGCTCGTCTTGTCCCTGACACTGTAGTCGTATCCCATCAGGGACACAAAATCCACCGTTTCGCAAATGGCCTGCATGTCGTAGGCAGCTTGGATTGCGCTGGGGGATCCACTGATTGCAATCGAAAGAATCTTGTTGCGACGGCGGAATTTTTCCCGAAGTGTCTGCAGAAGCAGGACGAAATTTTCTCGATCTTCAGGAATGCCACCCCTCTGGAATGTTTGTGTTGTGTGGTTAACATGCGGATTTCAGTTAAAATGTTCCAAAAATTACCAAAGTAGGATACTCCCAATCAACATCGAGTCCATCAAAGCCATAATGAGCCAAGAAGCGCAAGGCACTATCAGCAAACGCATCTCTAGTTTCCTCCGAATCTGCCATCTTGAAATGTGAAGATTCGAAATACAATTAAAAAACCCTTTCATCAAAATTGTTTCCACCTCACCAGAGAGTACTTCTCCGATCCCTCGTTCCAACCACCGATGGCCAACAGTACTTTTAGGCAGGGTTCCTTCCATTCATTTTGGCTATAAAAATGTTTTATGAAATTATGGAATAATAAGATATTATTATAATATTTTGTTTGTGTAAGCAACAAGAAAAGATTGTGGAGTTTGTGTTTGACACATAATACCAGCCAATGTTGCTGCATGAGAGTGGCAATAAGCGATTTTGTCATTTATCTCACCCACTCTTCGCTCTTCACTCTTCGCGAAGAGGCGATCAGAAAATCGCTTATTGTGGCTCTGTCAAAGCTAAATTTGCAGGTTTTATGTGTCAAACACAAACTTTAAAATCTTTTCTTGTTCCTTACACATGCAAAATACCACCATAATATCTTATTATTCCATAATTTTCTAAAACATTTTTTTAGTCAAAATGAATGGAAGGCACCCTGCTTTTAGGCATGGACTTTCCTCCTTCAGTTCCACGATCTTTTGGTAGCCCTCTGAAACGTTCGTTGTGGTCATGCCACGTGGTCTATTAAAACAAGCTAGGTACCAATCATCGCACACTTACTGTTCACGTTGATGTCGTTTTGGTAGTCCAACGAGTCGACGCCTCCGGCCAGATTCAACCCAGCAAAGGTGTATATTATGTGGGTACAGTAACTCGGAATTATGTAGCTGATGTTGAAGGCTCCTTCTCCCTCCCGATAGACCGACCAGCTGGCCAGGTTACAAACGACATTGTAACGCTCTGTAACAATTATTGCAACAACGTTTGAGCGCGTCTTGTAAAATCAATCATCTTCTCAACTTACTTGCATCGCAGGATTTGTCAGCAGCGAGTATTTGAGTAATAAAGGACACAACCCCAATCAGAATACAAATTTCTCTCATGATTTACGAAAATACCGCAGTCAACTGAAGAACCGATAAATTACTTCAACTGAAACGATTCAAATGAAGCCAACCACAGGCTCGCAATCTTGATTATCAGCGGTGATTAGAGCGTTTTCATGTTTTCGTTAAAAGCATCTTGAGGACAGACATCTATCGAGGTTCGATCGCGTTTGTACAAAAATTAAGGTAATGTACGGAAATTTATCGGTAATATGTCATATGTACACAACCATTGCCTTAATGATATTAGAGGTTAAATAGAGCGGAGAAGATAATACCCTCGTCTGGAGTGCGAGCCTGCAACTAAAGAAAACGACAATTTCCACAAAGTTAGACAACATTAGGGCAAATGCTATTACAGGATGTTATTACACAATCATTCAAATCAAAATTAGCAATAGATTGGGGGTTGTCTTCTCTGTCAGATAGTGGTGAAACTTTGCGTAATTGAATGGTCGCTTGCAAGAAAGCGGCGATGGTATACCATAGTGAGAAAATCGAATCTGACCTGTATTGCTAATTCAGAGAAAAAATTAGCATTTAGCGTAAGATTATCAGCTTTTAGGGATCGTCCATTAATTATGTCACACTTTTAGGGGGAGGAGGGGAGGGGGGTTGGAAACTGTGACGAGCCATACAAAAAAAATAAGATCAATACAAAAAATGTGATAAAGGGGGAACCAAATTTGCGTGACAAGGGGTGGAGGCGAACCAGCCCCAGGCTGAAAGCCTCCCTAATAAAGATAAATAATAATAATAATTTGCGTGACAAAATTTATGGATCTTTCCTTAGCATGCTGTGTTTTTCTACTGCGTTGAATTTTTTTACATGAAATGGCAATATTTAGGCTGAAATGGTCACTAGACAACGGGCAAAAATATCGAAAAAAATACATTACGTATGAGGGATTCCATCCAGAATAAGCAGAAAAAACCTGAAATCGTGCTCGACCATCTTCGATTTGGATGATACTTTGCCCATATTTTCAGTATGATAGACCAAGTATTTTCCGCAGGAGAGGAGACCCTTTTGACTCAAGGGTAATTTTTGAAAAAGGCCTATGTGTTTTTGCACACATACTTTTAAAAAAAATGAAGTTCGAAAACAGTTGGTTGTAGAAAAAAATTTACTCAGAAGGAGTTGTAAAAAACTAATAAAACGGCTTTATAAAAAAAATATACACGGAATTTTTTTCGTTTTTTTACAAAAAAAAATTAAATATAAACCTCAAAATTCAAATACCAAAAAAACCGTATTTTTGATTTTTTTTATATTTTTTTTATAAAAACTTGAACAGAAAGCAGAAGTTTTGAAAACAACTCTAGGATGGACAAACTTTCAATAAAAAAGTTTTTTTAAGAGCAACTTTTGAGGCATTTTTGAAAATTTCATTATTTACGGCAAAATGTTCAGTTTGATGTCAGTATATGATCATAAAAATCATTTCAAACGATAGTGCTTATATCAATAAACTTCCTAAATATAACCGTTTTCGAGATATTTCAAATTTACTTTCATCAAAATCAATTTTTTGTAGAAAATAAGCCATTTTCATAGCTGCGCACACGCTGAGTAGATAGAAAGAATATTGATGACGATTCTGAAGATTTCCTGCAAAAAGATGATGCGCGATGCAAGAAGATGCGAGAAATGAAAGAAGATTTTTCGAAGATTAATTCACAAGTGTGAGATTTGTTGAGTATCTAAACTTGAGATTTAAATGTGTCGCCCCCCCTCGCATTATTCGACAAATTTCCTACATGTATCATTCATAAAAATGATCGTATTTCACTATTTGAACTTTTTTTCAATAATTTATTATTCAAACTCTGGAATTTGAACCGGCTGCCATAAATGTATCACCACAGACAAACATACATAACACATCGAATATTCATCACTGTAAAACATCGTCGCTAAAACATTACCGCCATCTGTTGAGTACACTGTGGTGGGTAGTACGCCGAACAGATGGCAGTAGTGTGTAAACGTCAAACACAAGGGAATTGACTATGTGCGCCACAGGTGGCGGTACTACCAACTACGATACTTTTAAATTGATCGCTAAATGCTTGTTTGATGAACAACTTGCGAGAGTTATGTCTGTTTGTCTGTGGTATCACCATCGACTAGTACTATTTCCCGTCACTAGTGACGCATAAATTTCACTTGAATTATACTATACTGCTTTCAATATTTTGTTCATTATTTCAATACCGCTTGAAATATCTTAATTATTATCTTTTTCTTTTTTAATGGATCAATGAAAATGCTGAGATTTTGACAGAACTATGCTGTGGCTACCACAGTATTTTACATTTGATCGTCCATATACAGTAGCGCCAAAAGCATGCTGTGGTGGGTTCAAAACTGAATCAATTGATCAATTTAGATGGTCCACAGCATCACCGAAAAAACCGATATGAATGACCATACAAAGTACCATCACATTCCTGATCAAAGCACAAAACTGACATCTGCCGTCGTGTTCGCGAAAAATGTGTATCCAAGCCACGAACACGCATACAAAATGTATGAGTTGGTTCGTGTCTAATCTAGTCCAAGTGAATTATTTTTATCTAATTAACAAATTTCTATGTAGTTGAAGATGCTAATTTCAAATAACAGACTGTAGTGGTAATTTTTATACGATAGATGGAGTAGATGAAAGCATAGAGTTGATAGTTCCGTTAGAGTACGGCAGTGTGAAGATTGCATATAGTTATTAGAATAGCGAGCTAGGACAACTTTTAAGGAAGGTACAAATCGTTTTTTTCATCTCGCTTTACCAAACTCCCCCTTTGGAGAGGGATGGTGAGGGGTGTACTTGTACGTGAAGTCAACGATTTACATAGTTGAAGATGATAATTTCAAATAACAGACTGTAGTGGTACTATAACATATAATCGAAGTACATAACTCTGGATGGGAGCATACCATCAATTACTGTCAATGGTCGAAAGGTACAGTAGCAGCACCTACCCCACCCGTGTCCCCTCGAGATCGTCAAGTCATAGCACATATCGTGGTAGGGGTAAACAATAGTTGCAATTTCCAAACCTACGACTGGATGCCTTCCTTCAAATAACAACTGAAGTGCAGTAAAAAATCGGTAGAACTGTTTCAAACACACAGTTGGTATTTGAGCGGGTCGGTTTTCATCTCTTTTTGCCAGTGGTGGCGGGGGGGGGGGGACACCCCTCACCATCCCTCTCCAAAGGGGGAGTTTGGTAAAGAGAGATGAAAAAACCGATTTGTACCTTCCTTAAAAGTTGTCCTAGCTCGCTATTCTAATATCTATATGCAATCTTCACACTGCCGTACTCTAACGGAACTATCAACTCTATGCTTTCATCTACTCCATCTATCGTATAAAAATTACCACTACAGTCTGTTATTTGAAATTAGCATCTTCAACTATGTAAATCGTTGACTTCACGTAGAAGTAATACTAAAACATATAGTCAAATTTCTATGGGTTTGACAGATGGGATCGCTGCACATTTGAATCCACCACTATGGATTCTCGATCAAGAGTTAAGGTTAAGTTTCATGTCGGTTTGTCGGTGACAGCATGCTTTTCGCTACTGTATACGGACGATCAAATGTAAAATACTGTGGTAGCCACAGAATAGTTCCGTCAAAACAATAGAGCTAATTAACTATAGAGGAAGAATAGCGCTGCCATCGCTGTCGAAACATCTTTTCCTCATATCTAATAGGGACACAACTGTCAAAGTGAGAAAAAAATATGCAGTTTGACAGCTTGTAGCAAGTACACCAAGTGTACGTCCTAGGTAAATATTAAATTAGTCAAAAATAGAATAAGAATGAATTAGATCTAATCCATACGCCAAAAACTATGCCAGTAGCAAAACAACACTGGTCGATTTACAATAAAAATAGAATGCCTCGTGAGTAAAGCCACTCGACCTTGTACAATTTCTCGCAAGGCCGAGTCCAGTGAAATCTTCGGGAAAGTTGGGAAAAGAGAGAGTGTGGCTACACCCGACTTTGAACGAAGGACCAGCGATCGGAATAATCTCTCGCATTACCGATCTCGTTCGAAGAAGTTCGCGGGAAAATCGAACTTCCGTTAAGTTCGGCCGAGGTCACCTTCCCTAATCTGAGGTCACGGTTTCGCTTCACTTTCGTCCGAACCGCAGATTGCAGTGGAAGTGTTTCATTTTATTCGCGTGATAGTTTCGTTTTGTAAAGTGAGTTAAAGCAACGTGGTTGTACTTTTATACTTCAATTCTAATTTCTGCTCGTCGTTTGTTTAGTTATATAGTTATAAATCTAAACGTAGTGTGCGTCTTAGGCTAGACTTTGTGAGCGCGAAAAATAAGCTAGACCAGGTAATGTGCTCGTTAAAGAAAATCTGTGCATTGTGCTTAATGTTCTTTTCACCAGCCGACGGCTACGTTTACGTTTCCAACATCATCATCTGCATCCCCGGGACGAATAATCCCGGCAACCGTCACCTTGTCCGGTGGAAAGTGATCCGTATCTACATAGCTGAGCGGGGCTTTGTGGTTCGTCCATCCACGTGGAAATTGTTGGCCGTTCAACACCAACGGTCGAACGCGCAGCGATTGAAGGTAGCATCGTCGCCGCGCCAGTAACAGCAGCAGCTCAATCAACTGGTGAGTCCGTTCTGTTTTTTTTTTTTGTTGAGTGTGGCGTCCGGCGAGGGCGCCATGGAGGACCTTTTTTGCCGACCATAAGGTCGAAGAGCATGAATTGCTAACATTTGGAGAAGTCCAAGAATTGTAAGGTAGGGTGTCGGCAAGACAAACGTGCGCACGTAACGTAATACATGGATGCCCACCCAACCCATCTATGTTAGACACCCGGACCCGGGTGCCAAGCTTTGCTTGCCGTTCCCCGCTTGCTGCATCGTCGTGGGATTCGTCAGGAAGAAACACAAGAGCACAGCACAGATAGAAGGTAGTTACGCACACAAGAATAGGACTAGATAGAGAAATAGCATAAAGAGGAGTAGGAAAAAAATACAAACAATGGAAATTTCGTAAAAGCATGCTTTAGTTAATAATAAAATCTCAACTTACCGTTTTCCGTTGTGAAATAAATGTTTGATTTGAAATTGATGTAATGTTGTTGATCAGTCCTATCAAAGATTAGAATGAGAGGAAAAAAGTATCTTTACGTTGTTTTAGGGTCCGTGTAATTATGTTGTTGTCTTCCGCGTGGTCGGAATTTGACTGGTATGTTGCGTACCTTTTTTGCTGCAGCTGCGCCTCTGGCGGAATTTAAGGCAAACTACCGATGAGGAGAACTTGACGTGGAACGTCGTTTAGGGTTTGTGTATTCTCTTACCGGGAGCTTTTTGGAGTTATTTCGATGTTGTGAGAGATTATGCTGTTTTGCAATAGAGGTTTCTAATCGATCGAATTCGGTAGTAGCATAGAGGTAACTCTAAGACTAGTAGGTCCCGAAGAAACGTGCTCAACCTTTTGGCTCAGCTCTGGTACTATCTTCGGTCCCAAGCTAATCGATTCACCCCTCTAAACATAGGAAAAACGAATAACCCCTCATTTCATCTGTCAAACTTTCATAGCGAATCAAAACAAACATTGCGTAGTACTAGAATTTCGACTAGAATGGGATACGTTAATCGTTTGCTTGGGACCAATAGGCTAGTCAAGTAGTGAGCCAATTTAAAATCGTTAGTTTCGTATTGATTGTTGGTAGTAGTCAAGCTGGCTCGATCACTTCTTTCTAGGAAGATTTTCACTAGGACTCGCCCTGGGGCAGTCTCATCTGGGCAAACTCAACGTGGCCTGCGGTCTCCTTTAGCGGAGTGGCGCTTAAGCCGCAGGCTTTACCGAGATCGGCCAGTGTCGGCTACAAGCTCTGTACCCGGTATTATCAACAATCAATACGAAACTAACGATTTTAAATTGGCTCACCACTTCACTAACCTATTGGTCCCAAGCAAACGATTAACGTACCCCATTCTAGTCGAAAGTCTACTACTACACAGTGTTTGTTTTGATTCGCCATGAAAGTTTGACATATAAAATGAGGGGTTAGTGGATTTTCCTATGTTTCGAGGGTTGAATGGATTAGCTTGGGACCGAAGAGAGTACCAGAGCTGAGCCAACAAGTTGAGCACGTTATTTCAGGACCTTCTAGTCTTAGAGTTACTTCTATGGTATTATCATAGAGGTAACTCTAAGACCAGAAGGTCCCGAAGAAACGAGCTCAACTTTTTGGCTCAGCTCTGGTGCTATCTTCGGTTCCAAGCTAATCGATTCATCCCTCGAAACATAGGAAAATCCACGGCCCTTCATTTTATCTGTCAAACTTTCATAGCGAATCAAAACAAACATAGTGTAGTACTAAAATTTAGGCTAGAATGGGGTACGTTAATCGATTTTCTTGGGACCAATAGGCTAGTCAAGTAGTGAGCCAATTTAAAATTGTAGGTTTCCACCGGGTAACACGCTTACTTCAGCTTACTCACCGGGTGAGTCGATCGTTGTTGCGAACGCGACATTTGCTAATCAAGCAACATCATTATCAAGGAAAGATCAGACTATGAAAATAATTGTATTTCAGACAAACCATGTTTCCTCGTAAAGTAAAAACAGGTATAAGGATAACGTTTTGCAAAGAAAGTGGAACGAAATATTACAAGACTAGTTGTTTATTTAGGTCTATGTCTGCCGCGCTCAGGTATAGCTTAGAATAGAGTTGTAGGATATGCACTGCACGATAGATAAGCGCATGCCAGAAGGGCGTATAGGGACACGTCCACATTTATATATTTTTTACCTGAATTTGAAAGCGTTGCGAGGTGGAAGTTTGTTACGTAAATTAGGAGAGAATGAAGGTGATAAATGTAGGAAGGAATCTAGTTTTTTAATGTTGTCCCATTTTCACCTACACATTAGATTAGGGAATTTTTCTACTCGAGGATCATTTTAAGGATAGAATTTCGCTATATAAGGGAAAAGAATTGTAGAATAAAGTTAGTTCATAAGTGATACTCAATGCGGCTGTATCGTTGTTTTCATCCGAAAACTCCTTGGTAAGTTTCTAGTTCAAGAAAAACTGTTGATTCCCAAAGTAGAATAGGCTCTCACAATAGTTAGTGCACTGGCTCTTGGGCATAAAATCTCAAAGATATTTCTGAGCTAAAAACTACACACAAAAAATTATCGTTAATAAAATTAAAAAAACCATTGATAGAATTAAAAGTTTGCGTTGGTTCTTTTTGGTAGAAAGCCTTTTGCATTCAAAACAAAAGTCGGCCAACTGTCAATTCAAAAGTAGCTCATTCTTTAATTTTAAAAGTTGAAACTTTCAAATCGAATTGTAGAACTGTCAATCTAATAGCCTATGGTTTTTAAATATACTCATTAAAGGTTTTAATTTAAAAGATGGGTTTTTTTATCGCAATGGTGTACGTTTTCATCTCAAATATTATGTATTGCTTTAGAAAAATGAAACACATACATATTTAATTTAATTCATTTTAGTTTATTAAAATTTTCAATCATCACTGAAAGGCCACTGCATTATGGAATCTTCCATTGCAAGCATTTTACACTAATGGTACAGTTGATATCTGAATAATTACTTCCTGATGGGCTCGGTGTGGGGACGTACTTGAAGAAAAGTTCCTGTTTAATGGTGATGGTTGATGGGAGTAGCTTTCCTTTCCGGCAAGACTGACGAGGCTGCTGAAGATCAAAACACATCAATTAGTCAAATCGGAAGCAAGATCGAAAGTCTTCAAAAATTTCATCAACTTACCTCCAAATCCGGCAACTGGAGTATCCTTCCACTCGATAGTGTCCCCGCGGGTGCCTCCATATTATTATTCGTATCGTAAAGAAGGGAAACTATCGTGCCGGCGGATGAAATATATGAAAAAATAGAATACACTGCTGCTACTCCTGCAAGTTCTCACAGCTGGTTTTGTTTTATTTTTTATTTCCCATGTCAAATTTAGCGGGAAACGGAGGTCCAGTACTGTCAAAAACTACGCAATGAAGAGGTATTTTGACAGTTTTACAACTTTTATCTTAAAAAAATCACTTCTAAAATTACAAGTCGAAAGTGAAAGAAACATTTTTAAACCAAAAATATAAGTTTAATTTTGAAAACTTTGATAGTTGAAACTACGAATTTTGGGAAACTTTTAATTTGATTATGCATTATTTTTATAGCAACAATTTTTGTTCTTTGTGTGTATATTTTCAATTGATTGAGACTCTCTCCACTCAATAAGTATTGGCTCTCACCCTGGTTAGAGCAACTAGCTTTAAGTCCTGCGGGAATTCCAATAAATTGAAATTAACAAGGTTTCCAACTTGCAGTTGGTCGAGTACTCCTTCACCCGACAAATAAAATAAAGTGTTAGCAGCGATAGCGTTCCTTCGCACGTGTAAATCGATTGCATCGCTAACAATCGTACTCAATTTTGTCTGATACAGGAAATCAGGAGATGCTAGCGCTACGTAATGGCGACGTTCCCACTTATCTTTACACAAGTTTCTGGTGGGAGTTGTACGTCTTTTCTCTGTGGAGATTCTAAGATTTCACCTCGCTGTCAGCATTAATATCATCATGCAGTGACGGCATCTGCGTTGAGCTTTTACGGCATTTTCCGTATGGGTTTTTTGTCAAACACCGTGTATGAGCTTTTTAAACTTTTATGCTGCATGGGGTTTCCAGCTTGACGGCTCCCAAGTAAATGTTTGTTCTACTATATCGACTGTATCGATGATTGATAACAGTGCGATCCAACGTAAACATCTCTCGCGGTATCGTCGCTTTTCAGATTGTTTTTTCGCCAAATTTTCCTTGAAAAAGATTCGACTAAGCGTAAACGAAATAAAGTTCTCTTTGCTAGTCAATAGCTACGTAAAATTTTGCGTAGGAAAATGTGGTAAAAGTTCAATAATCCGGTGAGATTCAATTGCAGCGCTGATAGGTGTTGTGATTGGGAAGTGAAAGTTTCTGGATCTGGAATTGAAATGACTGCAAAATGCAACTTATGCCTGTTCTATTGTCCTCCTTCGTCGATGGAGAACGATGATCTACGTCGGATGGTCGATAAGGTTTTCTACTTCAAGGCTCGTGTTAATGAAATTGCTTGGCCGCTGATGAATTAACGTTGTTGTTTAAACATTGTAGATTTTCCGAACTCAAAACGATCCAACGTTGATCTGCGAAACCTGCAAGGGAACGGTGGATAGATTCTACGAGTATGCCGAGAATGTATGGAGGAATCAGCAGTTCCTGCGGGAGAGCTCGATTCCTTCGACCAGTAGCAACATGCAGGTCGCTGCGAAGGTTGAGATAGACCCACAACTGGGGTCGCAAAAAATGGCTAAGAAGGTAAAGGAGGAAGAGGAGGACGAGGATAATATTTATGAGGCAAAAGCATATGTGGAAACAAGTTATGACATTGCGGATGAAACGGCTCGAGGAAACAATGTTAAGACTAATCGCGAATGGATGGCACCGGAGGGCACTGAAGAGGCAGACAATGGAAATGAGTCGGATGATTCAGAAGGGACCGATAGCGATGCTATTGAGAACCAAGATGAAACAGCGGAAGTTAATGTGGAAAAACCCAAACGAAAGTATACCCCAAATAATAGAGTAGTGAAAACGGTTACTCCAAAGATGGCCCTTGAAGAGCAACTACTACAGCATTATAAATTGAGCTGTGATTTGTGTTCGGAACCGTTGGCCAGTTTTGCTGAGCTGATGGCACATTTTAAGCACATTCACAATCAACAGGGATATTTAAAGTGCTGCAACAAGAAAATCCAGAGGAAATACTGGATGATCGAACACATCCAGGTGCACCTGAATCCGGACGCATTCCAGTGCGTTATCTGCAAGAAGAGTTATAGCTCAAGTCGTGTGTTGAAGGAACACATTAAAGAAGTTCACACGCCGAACGAAGAACGAGCGATCAAGTGCGAAACCTGTCAGAAGCCGTTCGCAACGCAGCGAGCACTCAGCTCTCACCTGATGGCGGCTCATGGCTCTGTTCCTTGTCCGCAGTGTCCCAAGTTGTTGGCCTCGCAGGGATCGCTAAAAAAGCACTTGGTCATGATGCACGGCGAGGGAGAGCAGTATGTGTGTGACATTTGCGCCAAAGTATTCCGCTCGAAACCCTGCTTTGATAAGCACGTCAAGATCCATATGGGAACCTTTGAAGCCGAGCGGGTTCAGTGCGGTGTGTGCTTCGCTTGGCTTACGGACAAGTACTGTCTGAGAAAGCACATGCGTCGCATTCACAGCAACGAGGACGAAGTGGTGGATTGTGGGGAGTGTGGCCGACCACAGCGCAACCAAATCATGCTGAAAATGCACGTGGCCCGGGCTCACGGCGAAAGTCGCTTCGAGTGCGAAATTTGCCTCAAGAAGTTCAAACGGTCGCATCACATGAGGGTCAGTACCTATAGTTACGGTTTAATCTGACGTTTGTATAGGGCGATTGATGGAACGGGTTTTTGATTTTATAGGAACACAAAGCGATTCACCACACCGGCGAGGAGCTGTACGGTTGCGACTACTGTCCGGAGCGGTTCAACAACAAGAACAAACAGTGTTTGCACCGGAAGATGTGCCATCCGGTTGAGTTCGAGGAAGAGATGCGCAAGAGAACGGGTGGGGTAGGGGTACTCCCTGTCCAGCACTACTGAAACCATTATCTTCACTGCCCTGCGGGTCGGTCAAGAAAACACTTAAAAGTATACATTGCACATGGCTCTCTAGTCTTGCCGAACGATGACTGCGACAATGACCAAATTTGAGTTTAGTTTACTCATAAATCGCAAAAGTGCAGGAATTCAGTTTTTTTGTTTGCCCAGGAGAAACTTACCGAATATGAGATTAGGTAAAGATTGGATTCACCCTGTCTATTGGTACTACTCCTAGACTGAGTAAAATGTTCGTCAATTTTCTTAATTTTTCGGCAGATTTTTTAGATTTCCCACAGGAAAAAATTGGGCAAATTTACTAATCGCTAAGTCCCTCACTTTTTGCGATTATGAGTAAACGGAACTCAAATTTGGGTTGATCTCATTGGCCGTGTGGGTGTCCTGCACATTACACTGACAGTCCCATGACTTAAGAATGTAAAATGAACGAGTACATAGCAATCAAAAGAAGGCAGAATTTCATTCGGGGAAGTGGCCATTCGGATATATCAGGAATAACATTTGATAACGGCACAAAAGTATTTGTAAACAAACTTTATAAGGCCCTTTACACGCAAACCAACAACATCATCGGATAGGGGCAACTATCACCTTTCCGAAAGTGGTAGTGGTTTGCGTGTAAAGGGCCTTAGAAAGTTGGTTTACAAATGCTTTTGTGCCGTTATCAAATGTTATGCCTGATATGTAGATATAAATAACTTATTGAAATAACACAAAACTTACGAAAGATACAAATAAATGTGCGAAATAGTTTCCTCTGAATTGTAGATAACACTGGGCATTTATTCAAACTTTCGCTTGGAGGGTACCCACCAGAAAGGAATTGAGACCTTTACATGTTGTTGGCCACTTTGTGCTTTGTGGGTGACATAGGGCTAATTACCCCATTTCCGGCCTATTAAGCACAACCCGCACTTAGGCTGGGGTCCATTTGGTGAATTTTCACTTAAATTTGACACTTCGAAACTAAATTATAATGTTCGAAAATCCCTCTGTTGTTGATCGGCCAATTTTCGAGAAGGTGTGTGTCAAAATTGATTCCTTGTCTGTCAGATATAAGTCTGCTGGAATAGCAGGTTAATTTGGAAATTTTCCATCTGTCAAGTTTAAGTGAAAATTCGCCAAATGGAACACAGCCTTAGGCTGTGAACCATTTGCCGAGTTAAATTTAACTCGTGGTTAAAAGTGACATTTCGAAAGTTATTTTCTATGTTCGAAAATCCCCGTGCTGTTGATCGACCGGTTTTCGAGCCACAGTTGTCAAAATTTAACTTCTTGTCTGTCAGAAGTAACCACGCTCGGATAGCAGGGTTAATCGATAACTTTCCATCTGTCAAATTTTAACCAAAAGTTAAAATAATTCGCCAAATGGTTCAGAGCCTTAGTATTTCTTAATCTAGCGCAGTTTAGCACCACAAGGAATTTTATTATTAGGGTAGAGAACTACTTCGGCCTAATCGCCCATTTTGGGCCTATCGAGCAGAAAACTTCAAATAAATCCATGATTTAAGAGTTAACAAGTCAATTATGCGTTTGGTACGATACTTTAGTTAATAAGCTACGGAACGAAGTCTATGAGAACGTGTGATATAAAGGTTTGCACCCAGTATTCCCAAAAACAAAAGAAGCGCTCCAACCGAATCATTTTTTATCATCATCCGATAGGCCGAAGTGAATTCATTGGCGTTTCAATGCGTTGGGCCGAGTTTAGAATCCGTAGGCCGAGTTTGGCGTCAAGAAGCAGTGTTAGACTTTTAACAATATCTCAACGATTGGTTGCTCTTTATCAAAGCTTACGGTACGTACGGAAAGGTAAATAAATTTGGAAGCCATTAGTAATAATAAAATTCCTTGTGGTGCTTAACTGCGCTAGATTAAGAAAGATTAAGTGCGGGTTGTGCTTAATAGGCCGGAAATGGGGTAGTTACCTACCTACATTTTTTGGTTTTGTTTGAAAAATTCATTTCGATCGTGAAAGCTCGGAATAGGGGTGAATAACGGTAGTATTCCGAAAGAACATTTCTTTCTAGCTCCGCTTAAAACTGTGATCCTACGAATTTACAACTCACTTTATTATTTATCAGCATTTCACTAACTTAAGTAATGCTACACCATTTTTACCTGTCTTTCGATAAAATGTTCCCTGAGTTTTTAGTCAAACAAGCCTTTTCTGCGAGTCGTGTGACTGTAGGTTATGCATCATGCTGTCAACAAACCTTGTAATGTAATGATATAATTTTTTAAATTATTGAATAAAAAAATCAGTCACTTTTTTTCTGTGTATACAATTCAACCCGTATTTGGCCGATTGGGCATTGGTATATGCAAAGGGGCTAGCAAATGAAAATTGGATGGGGTGTCGTTCAAATTGTTTGTATTTTGAATTACGCATTTCGGCTGACTTTTGAATGAGTAATGTTTAAAATAATGTAAGATGCAATTGTTTTTGTTGCATTGTATTTTTCTTCTCACCGATGGGAACAAATTGAAATGAAAGTGACAGACATTCTACAAAAATTTATCAATACAAAAATAATTAAACAGCAACAGCATAAAACTTACTGTTGCTCACCCCTTGCGTTGTCAAATTCCTCATCCGCAGCCGCACATACGAGCATAATCATCAATTGTCATTCTGTCATCATTGGCACACTCACACACCAGCACCGATCCGATCCGTCATCGCTCGCGATTCAATCATTCGGAAGAAGTAGAAAATATTTTTTTTACCAAACTTCGGGAGTGTTGTAGACAGCGCAATCGAATCGCAATCGAACTAATTCGTCAGGAATTCCGTAAATTGGAACCGCCGTAATTGTGCTAACGAGTGTTCAATTCCGCCGGACGTCGCCGGGGTGACGTAAGAACTCGCTCGCATCGAAACCTTTGCCAGCCAGTGTTGTTGTGCAGAATTGTGTGGAGTGCCGTCTACCTCCCAGCAGTTCCAGACTAGTGAAAATAAAGAGAAAAAATCTCCCCCTCTACGGTGATTCTTGATTGCCCACGGAACCGGACGGGAATTGAAAGTGCTCGAATTTTATTTATCCGAGCGAGAGCAGCTGGAGAATCAACCGAAGGCATTAGTACAGCGAAATAAATAAAACATGGTAAGTGGAAGGTTCAATACATTTTCTACAAATAGGTATGTTATCTTCCGTCGACGGCTGGTTGGGGTTGCGCTTTTTCATTGTAGGGGTGATATTGTTTTTCGGAAGTCGGTACAGTATAACGTACGACGAGGGCGGTGAGAGAGTGTGAAATATACTACCAGTTTGTGGGGTGAAAGCGAAGTGGTTATCAGCCAGTTATCGGCGAACATTCAATATACGGATCGCTCGTTGCAGTTCGTGGCAATCGTTCGGTAGAACTAGGTTAGAGGATTTTGTTTTGTTCTTGGACAGTCATGTACTTTTGGAATTCGGCCAATTACGACAATTCGGCGCTGTACCGGAGGACGACTTCACCGGATGAGGTACATATATTCTTGCAGGGTCGATGCTCTGAGTGTGTCCGATGATCAATTTGAACGTGTATCAATACAGGGGATGTTGAGAGTGTTGGCAATTTATCAGTTCGACTTGCTTTAACTTTGATTGATACAGTGTTCTGGAATAGATTGCTCATTGAGGCGTTTCAGTCACAGACTATTGGATGGGTGATGGCATGTGTCTATCGTGTTTTATGTTATGCATTTTTGTCAAGATGAATTTTAACTAGAAACTTATTTTAGAGTTAAATTGTATTGTGATGCCAGATCCAGCTATGTCAGGTATGATAGGAGAGGTAGCCCCTCGAATTCGTTAGAATGTCAACTAGATTTCAGTAGGGTTTAGGTATGTATTTAAAAGCTTCTTCAATATTAACCGTTATGTGCCTGACTGGATACCCAGCTCCCAATTGAATAACACGGAGTAGAAAAAAAAAAAAACAAAAACATCCTCACGCACATAAGGGTTAACTGAATTTAACATACCGTTGTGCAGGGTTGCTTTCACTCACTTTGCTATAAACATTTTTTTTCGGAATAATTAAATCATTGTGGAAATTTTGTATTTGTAATAGTACGTTCAGACTTCAGAGTTATAACATCCTATAGCGCTATCTTGATGGTGATTTCTAAGTTGCAATTATTTGAAAACCGTTATAACCAAGGGCCTGACATGTCGTATCCGTATTAGGTACTGCAGCGTGACATCATAAATGAACTCAGTGTTAATCGGCTGAACCTTTTTGACAGTTCAGTGGTACTGTTAGTCGTTTTTTTCGAAAAAAAATTTCTTAATTTTTTGAATTTTAACTTGAAAATTGTCGAGGAACAGCGCGTTGCAAGGATGTTGCTCGTGAACATTACAGAAATGCTGTTAACATCTCACTGCAGTCTGAAAAATTATCGAGAAAATCCACCCAAGAAACAATCGACTAAGTCCACGTAAACAGTACCACTGAACTGTCATCAGATTGAGGTTAACCCCGACGGTGCAAAACCTAATTGTAGCCAGCATTCAAAATATAATCATCTGCGATTTCTCCATTCGTGAGCGTTCATTCAAAGTGAGCCTCACGAATCAATCGCTGATTGTAATTCTAGTATTGACTGTAAGAACTCAGCATTAACCAACTACCTACTCGGAGATCAAACATACAGCACCGGGTCAACTCAGACGACATAAGCAAGCTCCGGAACACCCAGGGTCGACTAGCTACTGAGTAATCACAGGGTTCCGCAATACCAAAAACGAAGAACTTTCTCTTTTCTTTAAATGCTTTTATTCGTCACTTTCTGTATCGTGTGCGTGTTGTTTTGTGTTAATGTTTTTGATGCTATCATCTTCTCTTGTCCGCCATGTATAGTATACATTGTATACTTTGACTTTAAATGATCTTTATTTCTTGTGTTTGTGTGGTTTACATGTATGAATTTTTAAGTGACACAGATGCGTCTTTTCAACTTTAGTACATTTGAGATTTTAATTATTATTTACAGTTCCTAGTCCTATCAGGCCTGTTTTTAAAGTATGACCACCTTGGTGGTTTTGGTTTGATTTGAATTGAAAAAAGGAGACTACTTATAACTACTATTTACAATTACAACTTACCTACAACTACTATATACACCTAATCTACAATATACAAATTGCTTATCAAAGCATGTTCTGATAAATTACATTTTTCTGCAAATTTAGTCTTAATTTCGTTAATTCTTGAATCTATTTTGGCAATTCCTGCCTCTTCGTATAAATTTGTTATTCTAGTGTCGAAAGGACGATCAAGAACCATCCTCAGCACTCTATTCTGAGCGACCTGAATTTTGTTCCTGTGAGTCTGTGCACATGATTCCCACACCGGAGCTGCGTAGAGGATCGCAGGTGCTATTATTTGTTTGTAGACGGCCAGTTTGTTTACCCTTGAGAGGCGGGATCTACGGCAAATCAGAGGATACAGACACCTAACCAAGGCGGAACACTTGATTACGGTTTTCTCCACATGTGAGCGGAATAGGAGCTTTTCATCGAACAACATCCCGAGATAGGTTACTTCGGCGGACCACTCAACCCTTGTGCCATCCATGATTACAGTACAAGAGGGAGCCGGTTTTAGTTTGGGTGATTTCCGATGGAGGAACATGATTGTTTGTGTTTTGGAGGCATTGATTTTGATTTTCCACGTGGTGGCATAATCAGCAAAGGCGTTAAGGCATCGTTGAAGTTTGTTCGTTATTTCGCGAGGCATCCTTCCTTTGACGGCTATTGCGGTATCATCTGCGAACAGGAAAAACACGCAACCGTCTCCTAGAGGAGGGATGTCCGACGTGTAGATGCTGTAAAGCAAGGGGCCCAGCAGACTGCCTTGCGGGACTCCTGCTGGGATGGAAAACGTGTCGGAAAGACAACCATTCAACGATACCTTAAACGATCTTTGCTGGAGGTAGCTACGGATGATTTTAACCAGATGTAATGGAAAGTTGAAGTTACAAAGCTTGTATACAAGTCCATTGTGCCAGACATTATCAAACGCTTTCTCAACGTCTAACAAGGCCATGGCTGTGGACTTGGATACAGCTTTGTTACTTCGGATGTTATTCATCACCCGTACTAGCTGGTGATAGGTGGAGTGCCCCTTTCTGAATCCAAACTGTTCCGGAAGGAGAATGTTGTTTTCCTCGACAAACTTGTGCAAACGATTGAGAATGAGTTTCTCGAACAATTTGCTCAGCGCTGAAAGGAGGCTGATTGGTCTGTAGCTTGAAGCTAGCGTTGGGTCCTTCCCGGGTTTGCGGATAGGTATGATTTTCGCTGTCTTCCAGATGCTTGGAAAGTAGTGTAGTTCCAAACATCTGTTGAAGATAGCGGTTAGAAGAGACTGCACTTTCATGCTGAGTCTCTTCAAGATCAAGTTGAATATACCGTCAAACCCGGGAGCCTTCATGTTCTTGGTGCATTTCAGCGCTGAGCAAATCAGTTCCACTATGATTCTATCCTCCGGAGGGATGGCACAAGGGGAGGAATCAAGGTTGAGTACGCGTTGCTCAACCTGAACTTCGAGCGGACTTTGGATGTTGGAGCCAAGCAAGTGCGATTTGGCAATATGCTCACCAATCGCATTTGCTTTCTCCTGAGGGGTGATTATGAGCCGATCGTCATCATTTTCATCTTTGAGTGGTGGAATTGGTTTAGGGTGTGTCTTTAAGACCTTGGCAACTTTCCAGAATGGTCTGGAGCGGTCGTCCAGATTCTGGACAAGCCGCCCGAAACTTTCGTTCCGGAGTGAGACCATTCTGGAAGCAATCTCCTTGTTCAGATTGGCCATTTCACGTTTCCTCCCTAGATCTCCAGTCCTCTGAAACTGGCGTCTACGAACATTTCTCAGGCGAATTAAGAGTTGGGTGTGGGAATCAATGGCAACAAACTTACCCCTCACAGGAACTCGTCGGACGCACGCCTCGTCAGCCACGGTTATGGCTTGGTGGAGTCCCTCCAACGCTCGGTCGATGTCCTCCACGGAGTCAAGCGGCGGGTTGTCGATGATGTGCCTGTCTACCACGCGTCCAAACTGGGCCCAGTTTACGCGATGGTAGTCCTTGCGCAGGCTTGGAGCAGGAGCTACGTTGTATCCCAGTTCAGCCACCACCGGTTGATGGTCGGAGCTGAGTTCGTTTAAGGCTACCGGCTTGGACAAGCCGGTATTTGAAAGAAACAGGTCTAGCGTCGATGGGTTGCCTGCCGGTGAGATGAATGTTGGCTCGTCCGAGAACCAAACGGAGTACAGCCCATGCTGCGAATGGTCGAACAGCAGACGACCGTTTTGGTTCTGCTGGTAGTTCCGCCAGGCCTCATGGCGAGCATTCAGATCTCCTCCAACTACGAAGCGGGAACCGGTACGGGTGATGGTGGACAGATCCTTCTTGAATTTAGCCGCTAGTCCACTGCTGGCGGCACACTGTCGAGGGCAGTAGACGGCGATGAACTGGACGTATCCAGTCGACGACTCCACCTCCACACCAAGGGCCTCGATAATAGAGGTGCGGATATGGGACAGAGTGTGGTATTTTATTCCTTTCTTGACGACGACCGCAACACCACCCCCCCTGGAGCTGGTGCGATCAAGCCGGATAATGTTGTGGTCAGGCAACCAGAAGCTGTCGCCGGACTTTAGATGGGACTCGGTTAGAAGGCCCACGTCGATGCTGTGCTTGCGGGGGAAGTCGGCAAGCTCAATCTTTTTTGCTCTTACAGAGCAAGCATTCCAGGTGACGATAATTAGCGGTTTAGACGCCATACTGGATGATGAACTTACCGAGCACTTGGATCTGTTCGGGCTTATTGCGGCACTTACGAAGAGCACCGGACATGTTGATTAAAATTTCCATCAGTTCATCCGCAGAGAACAGATCGGGGTTGTTGTTTTGCGCTGTTGGTTGTCTCCAAAATCCAGGGGGGGGGGGGGATGGAGAGCTTTGGCCAGCAGAATCACCGGAAGTTGCTTGAGCGAGATGCACCCGCGAATTCACTTGCCTTTGCTGAGGAGCACGAAGAGGCGGGAAATCCTCCGTCCGAAATGCAGGGACTTTGTCCTTCTTGCGTCCTGGTTGGTTGTTAGTTGCCACCTGTTTTCGGATGCGTTTGAAGTCCTCGCGTTTGGAGCACTGTCTGTCGGAACCTTGATGTGCACCACCACAGTTGGCGCATTTTAACGGCACGGCTCCATCCGCAGGGCAGTTGGAAGTGGCGTGTTCTAGAGCGCAGTTGCTGCAGCGTGGCTTGATGTTGCAGTTGCGGGTACCGTGTCCAAAATTGAGGCACCGCTGGCAGTGCGTTACGTCACGATGGCCGCCACGGTATGGCTCCCATCGTACGATGATGGAGTAGATCGATCGGATGGCTTGCAGTGCGTCACCGCGTCACCGTCCCTTTCTCGAAGTGCACCAGGAAAAGACAATCCGGGTACGTCTTCACGTTTTCGTCTCTCCTCGTCATCCGAAAGACAGCGATTGGGGCCAGCTTGTACCGGTCCTTGAGTTCTTCTTCGATCGCCTTGGGATCAACATCCGGTAGACCCCTGATGACTACCTTGAAGGGCTTTTCACCGGGGATGTCGTGCGTGAAGTATTCCGCATTGGAATCCTTCAGGAATTTGACGGCGATTTCATATTCCGCTTTCGTCCGGAGCATCACATTAGTGCCGATCCTGCTGATCTTGTACTCAGCTGCGATGCCCAGCGATGCGAAATCGCCAATGAGCGTCTTGAGTGGCACTAACTTCACCACCAGTGGAGGAAGCTTGACTTTCGCCACACTCGGGCCGGCAGAATTTTCGGTTTCGACGGCGTCGCCGAAATCACCGATGTCGCTGGCGTTCGTCGCGGTAACATCGTCGCGTCCGCTCGTACCATCGGACTGTCCTTGTTTCTTCTTCCTCTTTTTTGTCCGCTTCACCGGGACTGGGTTGGTATTCCCAACATCGGTGGGAAGAGTAGTGTACCTATTTGAGGTAGGTACCGAGATACCCTCACCGCTGTTCTTCTTCTCCGCTTGATCACGAAGTCTGCTCCGGGAGCGCTGTCTTCCCATCACGCGATGCGACCGACACTACTGACGACGCGACGTGCAGTATACCTATCTGCGAACGTTTGTAACAAACTATAGGTTTATCGAACAACTCGACAGAGCGAGCAAAGACCGAACTATACTGCTTGACGTTCAAGCAGAGAAGGTATACATTGTATACGTTCGGCGGGCCGTATTTAAATAAGGTCCGTGATGTTGCCTACTGTCAAACGCATAGGATTGATATAGGTATCCTAGACCCCTCAGGTGACGTGTAACCTAATCTCGATGCTCATGTACCGGTACATACCACTGCTGCCGTTGAATGATGAAAGCGATGGTCGACACAGCGACTCCTGTCCTACTGTGCGGCCGGAACTCTCGCCGGATTGGCGAAGCGAGCGGATGACGGGCCAGCAGGCGTTGCTGGATGGTGGAATGACATGCGTCTTCTCTCATAGGCGTATATCAATCAGTCGTGACATACCCAAGTTACAATTATGGTTTTATGAGGGTTATGTAGACCATGATTTAGACTTGTAGAATGCTTTAAAACCACGATAAAACTAGCAATGTTACTTGAGTAGCCACCATGGTAAACCGAGAGAGGAATACTCCTTGGCGATTATGGCCTTCGTTTGATCCTTGACTATTAGGCTCGAAACCGTTTCCAGTTTCGCGAGCCGGCCGTGTGCTGACGGATGACCTTTTTAAGATTCAAAACAAAAGAGGTCCTATCGAATACGGATACGTTTTTGTTTTGTTTTTTTTTTATAACCGTGATTTTTGGCCGTAGGCTAGTTCATCACGTTATATAGCAGACGGTCAGGCTAGATCCTGCTCCAAAAATAGGTTTCAATTTGACATTAACGTGACGTATAACTGGGCCTGATTACCCAACGAATGAGACAGACAACATTTTAAAAACTTAATGTAAAGTCAGGATTACATCGGGGCTGTGGTGAGGACTGGGTGCGCGAACAAGGTAGACCTCCACCGTAGAAGGCAGTGCCCCGTCCGGCGGAGAAACCCCGACGGCAGAAAAAAAAAATAGAAAGGTGAGGTAAACACGATCAGTGCAGCCACCGACGGGGGGCTAGATTTGATTATACAAGTGGGCGTCCTTCAGAAAGGCGATCAGCGCAGCCAACGTTGAGGGGTCGTAACCAAGCAGATTACGGACATTCTCCGGGAGTCCATGTTGTTCGCGAAGCTTCTGGAACTCCGGGCAGACACACAGCACGTGTTCCACCGAGGCGGGGATGCTGCAAATTGAACAAACCTTGCGGAAAGGTGTCCCACCGAAATTACAGGAAATCCTCGCATGACCGGTCCGGAGTCTTCAGATGATCCGCTGGTCCTTGAACTTTTGGCTATCCAGCCAGGAGCGTATGGTTTCCTTGATCTTCCTCAGGAAAGTGGTCCGCGATAGGAACCATCGCAGCTGCCAGGCTTCCATAATAGTATTCACAATCCAACGCCTGACATCTAGGAGGGGTACGTTCATGGTGTAGCAGGAACGGGTTGCACCAGATCCCACCAGTCTGTCTGCAGCCTCATTTCCGGGAACACCGCAGTGTCCGGGGATCCACGTAAAGACGGTTGAAGGTGGGGCGTACCGTGTAATGGCTTGTATCCAGGGGTGGCTCGGGACTTCGGCTTCCAGCGCTTGGATAACGCTGTGTGAGTCAGTTAACACGAGGATCGGTTAATCTGCCGGAATGATGACTGCGTCTAAAATAGCTGCGGCTTCAGCGAAAAAGACGGAGCACTCCTCCGGTAGATTTTGACTCGTTGCAGTGTTCTGTCCTGCCACTCCGAGTCCAACTCCAGCCCGCAACCGCGATCCGTCCGTAAAGCGATGAACGTGCCCCGGATAAACCGACCCGAGAAGCTCTGCAACAGAACGTCTCAAAGCTACAGAGTTATCTCCGGCTTGGAATCCACTCTTAATTCGCTTATTAATTTTGACGACGTTTGATCGCCAACTCTTCTCTCCATGCCAGTGGACCCTGGCCATGGTTGGCTGCAGTGCGGAGGGCTCTGTTCCACTCGTTGAAGAGAAAGACCCTTTCGTTCGCGGATGTCTTAGCAGCGAAGGCAGCGGCTTTCGTAGCAATGGCTGCAGCAGATCGATAGCGGAAAGGGAGGATTCCGATTTCCACACATGAGGCGTGTGCAGGCGTAGAAGGGAGAAGGCCGGATACGATGCGTACGTAGGTATTGTATACCGGAACGAGGATGTGGTTGAGCTTCTCGGTGGCTAAGCAGGTTATTTCGAGGCCGTAGAAAAGTCGATTGTCGATAACAGCCCGAGCGACACGAAGGCGGATCTCACGGTTGCAGGAGCGATGCCGTCGGGAGATTGTCCTGACTATGTTGATGCGGCTACGACAGTTTTCTTTCACCATCCTGAAGTGCTGGTTGAAGCTTAGGGTGCGATCCAGTACTACCCCCAGAACATGCACTGTTTCCTTAAGCGGAATCGGATGATCTTGGATGGTGATCGGTGGTCCTCGAATCATATGGCCCGAGTCACAGATATGGCACCGTACTCTCTTCGGCGCGGAGAGCTGGAAACCAACCGAAAATACGGATACGTAATTAATTACGGTTTTCGGTGCAGGGTATTTAGTTACCTGAACGTTAAATGTCCCAAACGCCACTGGCTGCTGCTAGGCGAGTGGAGGGGGCCTGGTTCTCGTTCAATTACACCAACCACTGCACTTAGCACGTATCACATCTTGACACACGGACGCCTGGTAGAAATGAGGCCGATTTTAGGTGATGACCGTTCTTTTCAATATTTCCTCATCCGTCATCTTCTATCATGCCTTTTGGTCTCTGTTTATGCTTCTGTGGTGTACATAACGTAACGGCACAATATGTTCACAGCGGTATACTGTTGTTCTTGCAACCCTGATCTGGGTTGAAGACCTGGAAAAACACGGAAAACTCAAGGGATTTTGCTTGACTCATCAGGCAATGCTGGGAACACGAGTCCAGCAGCGCTTGTGCCAGCATGGAATTGCCGTAACGGTCCTTAACTTTGAATAGAGTGGTTGATAACAGGATGTTCTGTGTAGGTGTGATTGGGAGTGCGATGTGTGTTTGACTTGTGGAGGGTGTGGCTGTGTTTGTGGCTAGTGGTGGAGTGGCTGTTAATGAGTGCTTTGTCCTTGCAATGTGGTGGATGTATTGGTATTAGCGTTGTGTGTTTGTTGACTTGGATTGTGGCTGTCTTCTGCTATGTGTCGGAGGATTTGACTGCGACTGTGGAAAAGAGGATCTAGCTGATGTACCATGCAGCAGGGAGTGGTGCTTCTGTTGGCAGTGAGGACAGACACTTTTCTCACAGTATCGTAGACACCCTGGGTTTGACATTTTGAAGCGTTTAGACCTCCCGGAATTATGAAACTAAAATAAAATTGGTTCATACTGGACTTTCATATAGATCCGTCAAACTGGCTGAAATTGCTTCTTCTTTTCTTTTTCCAGCCGCAAACGCCCATCAACTCGCTGGACGAGCAGGACAAACTGCTGAGCGATGCCATCACCGTGGTACGTGCCCAGGCGTTCCAGATGAAACGCTTCCTGGACAAGGGTCGCCTGATGGAGGCCATGCGCTGTGCTTCCACCATGCTCGGTGAACTGCGCACGTCCCTCCTATCGCCGAAAAGCTACTATGAGCTGTACATGGCCATTACGGACGAGCTGAGGCACTTTGAACACTACCTGCTGGATGAGTTCCAAAAGGGTCGCAAGGTACCGGACCTGTACGAACATGTCCAGTACGCCGGGAACATTGTGCCGCGATTGTATCTGCTCATCACGGTCGGGCTGGTTTACATCAAGACCAACTCATCGCTCAAAAGGAGCATCTTGAAGGATCTGGTTGAGATGTGCCGTGGAGTTCAACACCCGCTGCGTGGTTTGTTCCTTCGGAACTACCTTCTGCAGTGCACCAGGAACATTCTTCCTGATGTACTGAGCAATGGAGACGAACACGAAGGCACCGTCATCGATGCGATCGATTTCGTGCTAACCAATTTCGCCGAAATGAACAAACTGTGGGTTCGCATCCAGCACCAGGGTCATTCGAGCGAGCGGGCTCGCCGGGAGAAGGAACGGGAAGAGTTGAAAATCTTGGTTGGTACCAATTTGGTTCGGCTGTCCCAGCTGGAGTCGGCCACATTGGAGATCTATCAGCGGTTGATTCTTCCCGGGATTCTGGAGCAAGTGGTCAGCTGTCGCGATGCCATCGCCCAAGAGTATCTGATGGAGTGCATCATTCAAGTTTTCCCGGATGAATTCCATCTGCTGACGTTGGATCCGTTCCTGAAATCCTGCGCCCAGCTTCAACCCGGAGTTAATGTGAAGAATATCATCATTTCGTTAATCGATCGACTGGCTTTGTACAACCAGAGAAACGGGAAAGTCACTCAAACCACTTCTGGAACGGAAATCATTTCGGCAATTCCAGCTGAGGTTCAGCTGTTTGAAATTTTCAGCACCCAGATTGCCTATATCGTTCAGTTAAGGACGGATATGCCGCTGGAGGATACGGTTTCGCTGCAGGTGGCACTAGTGAGTCTCGCCCAGAAGGTCTACCCCGATCGGGTCGATTACGTCGACAAGGTGCTGGAGACGACGGCGCAGATACTCGATCGCCTGAATATGACCAAGTATTGGTAATTCCCGGTGGCGTCAGGTGGTAGATGATTGACGTAAATTTGCTTGTGTTTCTAATTGTTACCCGTTTTGTTTCATTGTTACGTCAATCACGCATGTGACGCCAATTTTAAATGATTTCAGGACAGCTTTTCAAGTTATCTCTTCTTTACAGCATTTCTCACTCTCTATCTGTGAATCAGGAACTGTCGCGTCTGCTACGTCTTTGCGTAGATTTCTACAACAACATTCTAACGATCCTGCAGTTGCAGTTCTTCACCCCGTTGCTGGAAAAATTCGACTACACCTCTCGGAAGGCCCTCTCCCTATACATCGTAATGAACGTGCTGGAAAACGAAACCCTCATCCCGTCGGCCGAGTACGTAGATAGTGTTTTGGGTATGCTTTCACCGTTGATCCGCGATCAGGACGATCAACCGGGGGACAAAGTCGACGTGGAAGACTTTGCCGAAGAGCAAGGAATTGTCGGTCGATTCGTGCACCTGCTACGCTCGGAAGATCCGGATACGCAGTACAAGATACTGACGGCGGCGCGGAAGCATTTCGGTCTGGGTGGACAGCAACGGATACGGTACGTCCTGCCACCGTTGGTGTTCCAGGCCTACCAGTTGGCATACAAGTACAAATCGATTGCCTCCGAGGATGAGATGTGGGACAAAAAGTGTCAGAAGATTTTGCAGTTCTGTCACAGTACAATTGCCGTGTTGGCTAAGTCAGAGTTGCCGGAATTGGCCTTGCGGTTGTATCTGCAGGGGGCGTTGTGTATTGGACAGATTGCCTACACGAACCACGAGACGGTGGCGTATGATTTTATGACCCAGGTAAGTTGTGAACCGCGGGTAATTCATTTTCAGATTATCAAAAATATACACTTTTGTAGGCATTTTCCCTCTATGAGGATGAAATTTCCGACTCCAAGTCGCAGTTCGCCGCCATTACGCTGATTGTGTCGACGGTGGAACAGATGACGTGCTTCTCGGAGGAAAATGCGGAACCCCTGCGGACAAACTGTGCCCTGGCGGCTTCCAAGTTGCTGAAGAAACCGGACCAGTGCCGAGCCGTGGTCACCTGTGCCAGTCTGTTCTGGAGTGGAAAGTAAGTGTTTTGCACCTTATTCTATGGAGACGCATGGCACCTAGTGAAACACATGAGAAAACCATTCTAATTCTTCCCGGCTTTTTCCCCTTCCATCATCGACAGACAAAACGGTCCGGAGCTGCGTGATGAGAAGCGTACCCTCGAATGCCTCAAGAAGGCAGCCAAGATTGCCTCGCAGTGTTTGGATGTGGGCGTCCAAGTGCAGCTGTACGTCGAACTGCTGAACCACTACCTGTTCTACTACCAACGAGGGAACGCTCAGATTACGGTTTCCATGCTAAATCAGGTTTGAGGTTAATAGACTCTATCGATTGGGATAATTTCAAACAATTGCCATACATTTCAGTTGATTGCGAAAATTAACGAGGAACTCCCCAATCTGGAACCGACAGAGGAAACCAAACAGATCGAGATGCATTACCAAAACACGCTGGCCCACATCCGAAGTCGGATGGAGAGCAACGACAGTAGCCTGGAGGTTTCGTTCGCTGGTATTACGTTAAATTAAAGTCGAACAAAAAGAAGCAAGCAGTTTTAAGTCAAGAAAAGTGGTAAGTTCTCATTTTTCAATTCTCATTTCAAGTCGGAGGGCATTTATTTTGGAGATCCATATGGACAAAGAGGAAAAGTATGACGATTATTTATAGGGGGCAAAATACAAAAAAAAAAAAAAAACAGTCGAAACCAAGTTAAACTATATTGCGAAAAAATATGAAATCTGAGATATAGAGAGCTACTAATTTGATAAGACTACTAGGAGAATCGGTTGACGTGAGGGGCTGAACATGGATTATGAAATCTTTTAGAAGATTACATCTTTAGTATCGAATATTAATAGGTCTATTATATTGCTCGTAATGATTGTGTAATAATCTGAAAACAAAAACAGAAATTTATGGACATTGATAAAATATAAACAACTTATAAGTTATGGAAATCGGGTCCGTTTCCGTTGGAAAGAAATGTCCATCTTGCGACTTACTTGTGCTTAATAAAAAAAATAAAAAAAAATCATGCGCGATTTCCTACTAGAATGACCACTTTTATGATCTTTTTAGTGATCTTAACGGTAATAAGTCAAATACTCAACACTGTAGTAGTGAACACCAAAAACATCTGTCTGTACCTAATGTAGAAATTGTACCTATCGATCTGATACTTAAATGAGTTTGAATGGTGAAAACAAGCAGTTGATCACAAAGATTGCTTTTTACCGCATACATCTTAAAAAGTTATCATAGGAAATAAGTGTAACACCATTTGGTTAAAAGGTGAGCATAACCTTCAGTTGTATTTCAAGGAAATCATTTTTAAATATCATTATTTTTAAAAAAAAAAATTTAATACAGGAAGCAACATGAGTGAACGAGCATGTTTTATCAGGTGCATTCGGCCGTTCGAGGAAGTCAAGTGCTCGAAAGAGCTGAGGAATGTTTCGGATATTACCATCCAGAAATTGCCGGAAGCTCAAAGATGCCAACTACAGTGATAGTACCTGTCGTACCGAGCTATGAAAGCCTTACAACTGTACCACCAATGACATCAGTTAATTCAGTTCAATCGTACCAATAATTCACTCAACCAGTCAACATCGAGATATTCAACCGAGGCATTGCAGGAATCCAGGTATCACCGATAGACGTGGGAAAACTCAACTACATCCACTACCCCGAAAAGAAGCACCGTGAAATCAACGAAGGTATTAGAAAGAATCTTTTCAACTTCGAGCCTGAGGCTGACGAAGTGAATGAACTCAAAGAAGTTTTAGAAAACATGAAGGAAAAGTTTTCCAATGCATCCACTGCAAGAAGTGAAAAATTATTAATTTTATCGTTATTGCCTTATTCATGGTCAACACAAAAAGTTATGGATCAATTTAATGCTAGTAGATATATTGCAACAGGGGCTAAGTTGATAAAGGAGGGTCATTCGTCAAAAACCGCAAGATATGGCACAGCCTTAAATGCCGCTCTTCGCATGTCGGTCCCATAGTCGTTTTCGTCAAAACTGAGTTTTTCAATGCAAATGGTAGCTAATTACCAATATTTTCATAACACTGCATGAACTCATCAACTTTGTTCTGAAAAAGTTTGGAAAGACAGTCACATTGGTTGTCCCATCACATAAGAAGCAATGGTACGAAGCAAACTTGAAACGCGATTTTCGCGGCTTGCCGATTTTCGCTATGGGACGAACATGCGAAGAGCGGCAGTTAAGTGATGAAACAAAATTGGCAGTCATAATTTTTTTTGAAGATGATGATATAAGCCGGACAATGCCTGGTCAAAAAGATTATGTGTCTGTGCAGAAAGAAGGAAAACGACAAGCCATTCAAAAAAGATTACTAATGATGACTTTGAGAGAAGCTTATAAACGATTCAATGAAATTCACTCCAATGTAAAAATTGGATTCTCTTCGTTTGCAAAACTCCGCCCTAAGCAATGTAAACTTTTAACCAGCTCTGGAACCCACAATGTTTGCGTGTGCACAACGCATGAAAACATCAATCTAATTTTACACAGTTTGAAAAAACTTAACCATTTAAATGATGTAAAAACGTTCACTGACAGCCTACTTTGTGAAAACAAGACAACATATTGCTATCTACGGTGTTGTGAAGATTGTCCAGACTCTTCCGCATTAGAAAACATTTAATTAAAACAATTAGAGGAAAAATGCATTGATCAGCTTTCATTTGAACAGTGGGTTACCACGGATAGATGTGATTTAGAAACTATTGTAAAGCCTGCAGACGAGTTTGTTTCATTTTTCTGCTTGAAATTGACAAGTTTGATACCACATGATTTCATAAAAACACAGCAATCTAATTTTTTGAAAACTACACGAAATGATTTGCAAGAAGGTGAATTTTAAGTTACTTGTGATTTTTCCGAAAACTACAGCTTTGTGTTACAGGATGAAGTTCAGTCTCATCACTGGAATGTCCAACAAGCTACCATTCATCCATTTGTTTTACATTTTAGTTTGCAAGTTAAACATTTAAGTTTTATTAAAAATTTCTGAAGAGTTAAGGCATGACTCAGTGGCTGTTAACTTATTTATTTCTAAAATGATAAGTTTTTTTATGCATTAACCAAAGTAAAAATATCAACAAGATTTATTTTATGTCCGATGGAGCCGCGTCACAGTACAAGAACCGGAAAAATTTCAGTCCGCATCGTGCTCTCTAGCCGTGCGGATCTATTTGCTTTTTGCCTAAGGAAGTGTTACTACTACCTAAAGCTACAACAAATTTAAACAGCACTTTTCAGTGCTCAACCTGATAAATTTTTCTACCTTGTTCAACTCTTATTCCTCTTCGATCCTTGTTTGGACCCTACCCGAGGTAATCCTTCTTGGATATCGATTTGGAAAATTCCTCTTCGATCCTTCAGATTCTTATAGTAATCTGCTTGGAAGTCGATTTGGATAAAAATTTACTGCCGCCATGGCGCCTAAACGCAAAAGAAAGGGACAAACACTTGACCCCCCTTCTGATGAAATTAATTTGAGTAATCAATTTGATTTGCTCACGGATGATGAGAATGATCCATCATCCAAGAAAAATTCTAGTAAACTTTCCCGGCTTAATGCCAAAAAGGAAAAGATCCCCCCTATTGTGATAACCACTTCCGATTTCCATGCTCTTCGCATGGAACTTTTGAATTTCGTGAAAGTTAAGTTTTCACTACAAATTGGACGTCGGGGTGAATGCCGTGTATTGGCTGAAACCTTGGACGGATTTAAATGTCTTCTCAAGTATCTTACTGAGAAGAAGCACAAATTTTTTACTTACGACACCAAAACTGAACGTGTGTTCAAGGTTGTCATGAAAGGACTGCCCTGTGGTGAATCCCTGGATCAGATCAAAGATGAACTGGCAAAATTACTTGGAGTTGTGCCACTCCAAGTAATCAAAATGAAAATGAAATCCCGTCCTGGCGATTCACGCAACGGGATTTCTAATGATTTTTATTTAGTTCACTTCAAGTCTAGTGAACTAAACAACCTTAAGGCCTTAGAAAAAGCTAGCCTTATGCTCCATGTCCGAGTGAAGTGGGAACACTTCAGGAAGACTGGAGGAAATTTCCAAAACCTCAGTCAGTGCCGTAAGTGCCAGGGATGGGGTCACGGAACTAAAAATTGCTACATGCCAGCCAAATGCATGAATTGTGGTGACGCAAAGGACGACTGTCCTGTGAAGGAAGATCCTAAGAAATTTAAATGTTCAAATTGTGGTGAAAACCACAAATCCAATTTTTGGGAATGTAAGACTCGCAAAGCGATCCTACAATCTCGTTCTAACCGACAGGTAGGAAACGCTCCACGTTTCCGACCAGGTACAAATTCAGCGAGGAACAAATTCAACATTCATACCCGGAGGTACAAATATCACCCCTGCTTCAAATGTTTCATCTGTACCTACTCCCCTCACTGCTAACAATGTTCGGCGAGTTAATGGAGCTACCTATGCTGCTATTGCAGCGGGTAGAAATCAAAATACTAACCAACGTTCTAACGGAAATTTTGACAATTTTGACTTAGGAAGCATTACTGCCCCTGAAATGGAATTTTTACAGAATTCATTAATTGACATGATTTCTGATATGCTTAAATCTAACTCCATGTTTGATGCTATTCAAACTGGAGTAAAATTTGCTAATAATATTGTCATGACTTTAAAATTCAGTAATGGATTTTAAAGCATTAAACATTTTAAATTGGAATGCTCGATCTCTTAAAGATAATGAAGACGAGCTATTTAACTGTTTGAGAGTTCATAACGTGCATATTGCCGTTATAACTGAAACGTTCCTTAAACCTGACCATAAGGTTAAGAAGGACTCAAATTATTTAATTTATAGAAATGATCGTCTTGATGGACCCTGTGGTGGCGTTGCCATCATTGTTCATAGACGAATCAAACATAAAATTCTTTCTTCATTTGAAACCAAAGTTTTTGAAACTTTGGGAGTTTCTGTTGAAACAAAATTTGGACAACTTACGTTTATAGCTGCCTATTTGCCATTCCAATGCGTAGGACAGCAAAAGAATTTTCTCAAGGGTGACCTCCAGAAACTTACCCGTCATAGGTCTAAATTCTTCATTATTGGTGATTTTAATGCAAAACACCGCTCATGGAATAATGCTCAAAGCAATTCTAATGGTAATATTCTGTTTGATGATTGTTCTGCAGGTTATTACACTATTCAATATCCAAACAGCCCAACATGCTTTTCTTCTGCAAGAAATCCCTCAACTATTGATTTGGTCTCAACTGATTCATGTCAACTTTGTAGCCAATTGGTTACCCATGCTGACTTCGGTTCTGATCACCTTCCAGTAACTTTTGAAATATCCCAAGAAATAATTTGTAATCCCAACAGCTCTACTTTCAATTACCATAGGGCTGATTGGGAGCAATATCGAACATTTATGGAATATAACTTCGATCCAAACATTCCTTTGCAAACCAAACATGAAATTAATTGTTCTCTTGAATCTCTGACTACTTCTATAGTTGAAGCAAGAGCTGCCCGCATAAACGCGAACCATTAATTGACCTTACCGAAAATGGTTGAATAGAAGTTGAAAATGAGCGAAGGGCCATTAATGCGACAGTTTTTAAAGATCGACGCACATTTTTGCCTAACCCGTACGATGTACGGTTAGGCAAAAATGTGCGGCAAAAAGATGTGTGTAGGTAGTGATGAAAACGTCGCTAGAACTATTCCACAGCCGCAGTCAGTTTATGAGCAAAACGAGAGACGCACATTTTTCGCCTATGGACTTGGAGACATACTTCAAGTCCCCGCGTACATCGTACGGGTTAGGCAAAAATGTGCGTCGATCTTTAAAAACTGTCGCATTAATTGCCCTTCGCTCATTTTCAACTTCTATTCAATTTTCATACTGCCGTACACTAACGGAACTAT